GGGAGGGGGGGAGGAGGGAGTGCCTCAACATTTGTATTTCATTGCAAAAAGTAAAAACATCTTTTTTTATTTGTACATACAAATCTGAGTTACTTACACTTTTTACAGCCCCCCAGCCAAGTATTTACAAAGTTTGCAATATATTAAATTATAACCATCCATAAAATTCTGCATTTGTTGCATATTTACATTAACAGCTACTGAAGTGTACAGTGTACATAATTCAAAACAGTCTTAATGTATTTTTATATATTTCTATAGATATCTATATCTACAGATATCCATCTATATCTATCTATATATATCTATAGAGATATATATAGATATAGCTATATATATATATATAGGATTGTTTCCCCAGCACAGCCCTGAGCCTTTGTAATATGTTACAATTAACCATAATATCCCCTATTTCCCCCCTACACAAAGATGATGCTAACAATACACTATCATTTGTTCGAGTCTCAAAAACAAAGGGAAAAAGCCAGTTATCTCCCATGTCTGGCTTAGTACAACAGTAGATCTACACTTTACAAGACCTATGGTCAGCAGCCCTGAAGAGCAAAGTAAGTACGTAGCTTTATGTAGAAAATACGTGAAGAGAAGAAAGTAGAAGCCTCTGAGAGGCTTATTTTCTCGTCATGGGTGCAAGGCTGCTGCAGCTGCTCCATACTTGTGGCCCGAATCTCCCTGCCTTCCACTGAATTACATGGAGCAGAGGGCATTCAGCATGCTGCAAGGAGAGGCGTGATCCTGCAACCCCTCTTCACAGTGGCAGGCCACTCACTATGGCACTGTTTGTGAGAAACAGCTGTAGGATCCCCTTTGAACCCAATTTTCTCTTATCATTCACAGCCCTTTTCACTTGATTTTCTCTTCAGCTACTCCATGGCTTTGTCTTTGCTGGAAAAATCAGGGAAAAAAAAGGCAGGGAAGGGGAACAGAGTTTTTACCAGGATATAACTAACGTGCATTAGGTGTCCTTGTACAATCAAGGCCCTGTAGCTTTGGCATCAAACTAGGAGAAGCCAACCAGAGGGGGCAGCACAGCATTGACTGAACCTAGGTAACTCCTGTCAAAACTAGAGATGCCCCACTTGCCCTGGGGTTTCATAGCAGGGTCAATGTAAATTAGTTATCCCCCTACATATCAGCAACCACCTGCCCCTTGCCTCCACACCCTTATGGGCAATGAGACAGCCTAAAGACCAAGTCAACACTGCAGGTGTAGCCAATATCCCATCCCTGGTTCCTTGCTGGAGGGCATCTGCTTTGCAACAGCTGCTGAGAAAGGGGCTAAGTGCAGTGAAAACTATGTGACCTAGTGGGCTCTTCCCCTGGAAAAACTCTCTGGGGTTTTGCAAGGCAAGTCCAAGGCTGAGAGCTGTAAAGCTGTCTGGGGGATTTCCATGTGCAAGCCCTATTAAAAATCAGCAGGACTTGGCAGCCCCAGTGCCCCGGGGGAAGCTGGAATATTTCCTGGTGTTGAAAGACTGGACATAACAAGATTCCTTTTCTCCTGCCTTCAATTATCCTGAGTTCAGAAACCAGGGAGAGAGGGATCATCAGTGTCTTCTGTTATCAGAGGTCGGCCTTAATCCATCCTCTGCAAGATACTCCCTACTGACTCACCTGGAGCAGGTGATCTTCCCACACTGGCAAGCAAAATATTCTGTTACCCTGGGCCATTAGGGTAATGGGTTAGGGAGTCAGCTTCAGCTGGTGGATTTTCACAGCAGGTCGCAAGCCCCTGGCATTTCAGTGATCACAAGTCCAGCTCCGGGCTGGCATTGAAGCTCAGGAGAGGGGGTGAATCTGCGTGGAAGGTTTTAAGAGGCACCTTGAAGAAGCCAGTGAAGGAGAGACAAAACAAGGAAACTTGGTGCACGCAGAGACTGTCTCAAGACACTGGGAAGGGAACAGGGCCCACAAATACCCAGGTGATGTTTGAGGTGGTAGAAACACACAACAGAATACACAGCATCAATGAGCTGGTCCCGCCACGTTCACTGCTAAGGTGGCTCCGTTACCCGAGAGGACGGCCGTTCTCTTACAGCCTCCACAGATCCCTGGGAAGTGGCTGGCTGGGACAAGGTTTAAACACATTTTCTGTCAGGTCCTAGGTCATAACCTGCCACAGCCTTTGGAAATGGCTTTCTTGGGTGACTGTGTGAAGTTGTGACCTCAAAACACAAAATCAGCAGGCGAGAGAGGGACTGGACTTGCCTGCAGCCTTTCACCTCTCTAGCCTGGACAGCACAGGTGGTGGCAGGAGCTGACGTTTCACTTTGGCGCACACAATCTCAATCTCAGTATTATTTGTGCGAGAGCTCAAATCCTGACAGCTAAGGCCACATT